AGAAAGAGTATTTACCTGACTTACAGAAAGGATATGTGCTAAATTAAATCCCAGAAAAGCAAAAAATATAATCGCGGAAAAGCAATGTAATTTGTCGCGGAAAAGCAGGATTCTTTTCGCGGAAAAGCTGGTTATAAATATTCACATTAACAGAATTTATATCTACCATAGCTAACCGTATGCTAAGCTGATTCACACACAAATAAATAATTATGTAAAATAAATTTCCACAACATGACAAGCAGATTTTCGGACTGAATAACTGTAAATCATTTCTATTAGACTCTGTATTATTTGTTACTAAACTTATCTTATTTATGGCTATATCGGCAAAATAAAACAAAACTTTGTAAATTATGAAAGTCTTAATCCCACGCACAGTCAGCGGGGGGGAGGGGGGGCACTAACCACTAAAATAAAAAAAAAAAAAGATCCGATTCAAAAAAAAAAATTAAAATATATATTGACTTCTTGAATATAGTCAAGTATTATATGTAATTGATAAACACTTAGGAAATTAAATTCAAGGCATTTACATGTCTTGTGTATCGAAGCAAAACAGGGCGATTCCATATAAATTTTTGCATAAATTTATACCCAGAAGGGTTCAAGGTAAATATATTTGACACCAGGTGAGAGAGCAGTTCAGGTATGTTGACGTTGAATACACACGGGCTAAGGTGTCATGTAGGGGTAGGGGGTTGGGTCTTGACCTGACAGGAAGACAGTGTACTGATTAGACAGGTACATATAGGTGTCAGTTCTTTAAGTACTGGAGCGCTTCCGTCTGTCAGTGTACAGTATATACTCAGTTCATTTCCACGCCGAAATAGGTAAGATGTATACTGATTTTTTTTTCGATTTTCTAAAGGCAGTAGTAAGTAAAAATGGTTAAACATCTACATTATAATATATAATTATAATTATGGTGAATTGAATAGAACATGCTCATGCATTATAAATTGTAATTTATTTTTTACTTAGACACATAAGAGAAACAAATAAATAGAAAAAAAAAAATAAATATGAACTACATGTACATGTACATACTTGCACGTACAGACAAAATTTGTAAATGTTATCAAGATCATGCATTACATTGTATATGCCTTTATTAATCATTTGGAAACAATCCTTTAGATAATTGATTGTGCATACATTTAGAATAGAGGCATAAAAATTTAACTACATGTACATGTGTGTTACCAAACGATGCTTTTCAAATATTAATAAAAAAAAAAGTGCTTCTACTAGTGTTTCTGAAAAATGAATAACTTGTTATTGATTAATTCCATTATTGATAAAAAAAAGATAGGCCTTATATAGATGCTGATATTTTTTCAATTTATTTATTTTTGCACACATACCTACTGTTTTATGTTTCTATAATTATCAAAAGAAAGTTAATAATGATCTACCTTTTGGTGACTCTGACTATTTAAAGAAATTATAATATTTCTATTTTTGACAAATAGTATTTCTTACAAATCTACAATCTGAATTAAAAAAAAAAAATAAATAAAACGATTGACTTGTAGACCGATTATTTTATGTGCTAAATAGACTTAACTTTCGATTTACGCTCTCTGCTTGGTTACGGCCGGTACTTGACGTTTTTTGTTATTTATTTATTTATTTATGTATTTATTTATTTATTTATTTATTTAGTAATTTATTTATTTATTTTCTTAAATTTATATACCAGAGAATCAGATAAGTTATTAATTTCTCTATCTCTCTCTTCAACAATTAAATGGATCGTAAATAAAATAACAAAACGAAAAATGAACTCGGGATATCTCGGGTGTTTCTTCTCAAGGTAAAGATAAAAAGCGAGGGTTTCCGAATGCACACGATAAACGCAAAACACGATACACGATAGAACCTGATAAACGATCTTCACGATAAACGATAAACCTGATAAACGGAAAACACGATAGAAAACGCAAAACCTGATAAACGGAAAACACGATACGATAGGATACGATAGGATACACGCACGATACGACAGGATACACGCACGATACGGTAGGATAAACGCACGGGTAGACAGACACCTCGGCCCAACGACACCTCGGCCCGTCACGTTTGACACCTCGGCCCTGACAGGTCGGCCCAAAATTATTGACACCTCGGCCCATACTGAAGACACCTCTGCCCAAGGAATTTTTTTTCAGAATTATTATCTGTATTCACTTTGGTAATATAAATATATGTATGTTTATAATGACGATATGTATACGATAAACAGGGGCAAATAATTTCAAAATAGATTAATGACATATAGATCTATGTCAGCTGCTGTATCTATTGAGTGGGAGATAGAAGGTCTATTTATTTATTTTGTTGCTTATGAAATGCAACTTTATTCATTTCATAATGATAAGAATTCTTTTACTTAAAAATCGCTTTGTAGTAGGGGCGTATTGTACACATATTAACCTCACAGATAGAAATTACGTTAACCTGATAGATCTTCGTTGCGTAATATTAGAGCATAATGGATATATTTCCCTAAACCAACCAAGGTAGATATGTGGTTTGTACCCAACAATTGGATTAATTTAGCCTGCTCGTAATTAACTCCTAATTGTCACCACCCCATATGACACGCGCTTGAGACGCCAAAGGATGCGCCGTGTCTTCTTGTTTGTTAAACGATTAGCACTTTGGGATGGACATTTTTTTTTAATTACCGTCAATATTTACTCTCGGAAGATTATTCATTTATTTTCTTTTTTATTTCATGGATATATAATAATATAATCCGTCGTATTTAGTCCCTATAATGATAAAATACTTCAGAATGTATTAAATAAATATGTTTAAAATAATACATTTTTGTTTGTGCCGAGGTGTCTTTTTCGTGAGCCGAGGTGTCTCAAATCTTGGGCCGACCCGTCGGGGCCGAGGTGTCAATGGGCCGAGATGTCGTTGGGCCGAGGTGTCGTTGGGCCGAGGTGTATGACATTCAACGCACGATAGGACACGATAGAATTGTAAAGAATAACGATGCGGGTACTGTAAGCGACAAATTGCTAACTTTAATAATGTGTGACCTGAATATTTATACGCGGGAGTGATGCAGAACAAAGAACGTTCACAAATTGTGGTGCTGTCATAACCATGAAGCTATTAATAACAGAAATTCAAAAATTACCTACCAGATGTGGTCATTAACTGTGTTATATCCTACTTGATACGTAATGTACTTCAAATTTTCATCTATAGACTGATATTTTAAATGTAAAAGGGAACTACTTCAAGTAACTTTGACGAAACTTTTTTTTACTTTTTTTTCATTTGCGCACCTCTCTGTCTGAATTTCAGATCTCTTCAAACATATTCAACATAAAAAGAACATATCACACCCACCCTGTTCATCCAAAACATTCGGCTGTAAAATCTGTTAGAGTTGCTTGCCAATTGTTTAACACTGTAAAAAGAATCTCCCCCCCCCCTCCCCTTAAACAGTGTTTTTTTTTTGTTTGTTTGTTTTTTTTTTTTTTTAGCGTTTCTGCTTTTGCCAGAGAATCGTCTGCATTTACCCTCTTTGGTAGTATTAAAAAACATTTCTTCACAGTTCTATTGTTCATGTACCGTGGAATCACTAATTATTGTAGGGGAAACTTCGTTGTTTTCGAGGTATGAATAGACTAACGAATTCATGACCACCACGAAATATAAAATGTCATATACATAACTACCCAACAATTCTTCATCCACGAAATCAAATCCCCACGAACCCATACTTTTCCCTTAAACCACGGAAACTTGACCCCACGAAAATATAAAAATTTTTGAGCATATTAAAGCATTTTATATCTGTGTGATTATTTCGTCTATTCTTCGGTGACTTGCTGGCATGAAGATGATATCATTGTTTAGTACTGTAGCTGTTTATGACTAAAATAAGTCTTAAACATTTTCTTTGGAATATGCATGAAATCAAAAAAGAATTCGAATTTAAATCATATGATACATGTATGCAAACATACGAAAGCCTAGAAGGGTCAAATAAGAAAATAAAAAAAAATTTAAAAAGTCGTAATAACGAGATAAAAAGTCGTTATTACGAGATAAAAAGTCGTAATTACGACTTAAGAAAGTCGTTATTACGACTTATAAAAGTCGTTATTACAAGATAAAAAGTCGTTATTACGAGATAAAAAGTCGTTATTACGACTTAAGAATCTTAAGTCGTAATAACAGGATAAAAAGTCGTAGTAACGAGATAAAAAGTCGTTATTACGACTTTCATAAGTCGTAATAACGACTTTTTATCTCGTTATTACGACTTTCGTAAGTCGTAATAACGACTTTTTATCTCGTTATTACGACTTTCTTGAGTCGTAATTACGACTTTTTATCTCGTAATAACGACTTTTTATCTCGTTATTACGACTTTTTAATTTTTTTTTTATTTTCTTATTTGACCCTTCTAGGCTTTCGTACAAACATTCCAACGTTGTGTAGATTCAATTTATGGCGGGCACTGGGGTTAGGGCGATGCCAAAAACTCGGATCAAAATTTACCTTGATAATACAAGCATATAGGGGAAAAATCTTTTTCAAAAATCTTTTTCAGAAGAGCAAAGCCATGTCATATTATAGGAGAATCGCCATAACGTGCGAATTCAATTTTGGCTACGTTATGATCCCTTGGGGTTAAGTTAGGATAGGGCCACGATATGGGGTTAATTTTATTTTCGGGAATGTAGAGGGAAAATATCTACGTTAAAAGATCCTAACGATATCAGGTCTAGATAACTCATGTAAAGGTTGTGGCCCTCAGGCCTATTATTTTTAATACAGTTCGTTGATATATGATTGTTGTGCAAATGTGTGTTGTTTTTAAGCGTTTCATTTGCAGCCGGATTGACTCATATAGGTCCTAGTCCTGAGAATTAGAATTGATTATGTATCATTTGAATGACTGGCAAATAATTTTCTGCCTGTACGAATTTACAAAAATTTACCTATATTTATTTGCAGAGAAAAATAAAGTAATGAGAGCCTTCAAGAACATCTTAGTCATTCTGTTCAGCTTTTTAAGTACAACATGTTTGGGTAAGGGTTTAATTCAATAATACAAACATTAGTATCAGTATCCTCTTCTTTAGAACTGATGTAATATTGTTTTTCATTTATTGTTCTATTCATTATATTTCTACAATGTGCATATGTTATTTATATCAAAAGATAATGATCGACATTACAAATATTTGATAATTCACACTTAACAATACAAGTATATGAATTTATCCATAATTAGAAGTACTGTTAAGTGAAGTATCATGCCTCGATGAACCCTTCTAAACAAAGATGTATAGCAGAATCCAATAAATGTTTTATCACCCCCTCTCTCTCTTTCAAATATTACTAGCAGTGAAGGAAAACTTCCGAAATATTGTGCTACAACATATTTGAGAAGTTGCCTTAATCAGATGTGGTCTATGGCGTGTTTAAAGGGGAAGCACCAAGCGCCCCTCCCTAAAATTTTCAAATTCAAGAAAACGGGAAAAGGGATGTGATTTAAAAAGCGTTAGTTCTACATTCCAACAAGCAGAAGCATCTTGGGGTTCACTTTAAGGATTTAATTCTACAGACCTTTAAAAAATTGTCATCTTATAAATATTATCTTTAATCATGATGTCAAGAAATAGTAAAAATGCCTACATAGAAAGCCCATATTTTTATTTTGTATTCTTTTGAATCAAAATTTACTCAAAAAATTTCACATAAAGAAGAAGTCCATTGCTTGACCTTCAACTCGATATTATCTAGGTATATCAAAAATGATTGTTTTATCAGTTAAAAATGTTTATTTACATTCGTTCCACTGAATTTGAAATTCATTTGTTTTATCAATCAATAATGTTTATTTACATTCGTTCGACTGAATTTGAAATTTAAAAAAAATACAACAGAGCCTGAACGTATCTACATGTAGCTGTTTCATATTTGGATATTTCACAAGATATAGATATTGAAGGGAAACAAACAAATAAGCTTTATGATAAAAGAGGATTATTCTATTGTTAACTTCCCTTACTTAAATAGCAACATTCCACTATCACCTTATATGGGTTTTTTTTTCTCTATATTGATTCAAATGGCAAGGCAAATTTTTTGATATTTTTCATATGAATTGCTCAACGTTTGATTTCCTGATGTTTGTATACAAATCAGAGAACCGCTTTATAATTTGCATGAATTTGACGAAGATGAACAAGAAAATTTCTTTAAAAAGTTAACACACACATTTTGATATGATTCAATCAACACTAACATGAATCAACTTTGATTAGTTCATGCAATGTACAATGAAATACATAATTAGACGTATTAACAATCAAACGGGGAAAAGAGAAGAAAACAGTTTGAAGAACTCTGGAGTATTTGTTTATGTCTTAATTAGTTCTTCTTAAATAACTATAAATCTACGCTCATATACAAATTACCAGTGATCAGAGTGGCGTATATAGTCCTTTTGTAAACCTAAATATGGAAAGCCGTAGTATGGAAAGCCCTAAAAGATACACTGTATCTGACTGGCTGGCAAAATAAATCCATTCATTTTTTCTATGTTTAACGTCCAGAAAAAGAAACATTATTAGAAACGTTATTTCTTCAGATTGTAACAAAATAATTAAATAAATAATAATAATAATATAAAATTAAAAAAGAGCATATTAAAATTCACATCTTTGAAATAAAAGTTTAAAAATGATGTTAAAAAAAATAAGATACAAATTCTTATAGTTAATTGCGTTGCAAATATTTGCAAATTTGGATTTCTTAGTGTTTATTACCGGTATATACTTAATCACCTCAACGTCGAGGACGGTAAAACATTGACGAAACGTGTAATGGCTTAACTATATATTATAATTTTAACTTTTCTAAAACAGGACAACAAAATGTCACACGAAATAGACCTCCAGGTATTTATATACAGCCATACATTGATGTTTATTATAAGGATTTTGAATTTCTGCGACTGCCGTGCCAGGCAGATGGAGCACCAAAACCAACGTAAGTCATTTGATTTGAGTGACAAATATTGAATTTTTGTTTGTTTTAAAGGCAAATATAAAGATTTTTTTTTCTCTTTGCAATTTATGAAATAAGCATATTCATTATTGTTTTTGTGAATAGAATAACTAGGTCTTTTAAACATTTTTTTTTGGTCACAACTCTCCTGCTGTGATTTTGAAAATTTCATATTATTATTTAGGACTGAAGTTTTTTTTTCTCGTTTCTCCCTACCTATGTATCAAAGGGTTCAACTTAATCCACTTGATCTAACTGAGAGGGAAAAGAAATAACCTAAAAAATTGTTTTACTACACGTCCGTGTCTTACCTTGGAATTTTTAGCGAGACGCAAATTCAGCGATTTATCCTAAAACAAATGCTATACATTGCGAGAAGTAATTTTAGCGATTTTATTATGTCAAGAGAGATATCTATAACAACCTATACGGAATAAATTGTTAGCGATATTCAATTTTAGCGACCTCAGAATCCTCGTTAATAATGCCAAAATTGAATCCTCGTTAAAAATTCTGCTTATACGGTATATCAAAACAGTTGATTTATTCTTATATTTTTGTATCTGAACAGATACAGATGGAAAAGGAATGGCGTTGACTTGGATGATTACGATAACCCGTACCTCGGGTTCACGATAGACGACGGAAGCATCTTTACAAATGAGGCACGGTTTGATGTAGAGGGCATTTATCAATGTATTGCTGAAAACGATTTTGGGACGTCAGTGTCCATAAATGTTAACGTGAGGTAATACATTTTTGTGCTTTATTTTTTTTTAATCTTATAGGTATGTACACAATACTCTTTCTCGAAAATCCCTAGATCACAATTTTTGCAGGGAAATGATTTGTATATGTAGGTGAAATATTTAAAGAAGAGTTGTCAACCAGTAACCGGTTACTCGAGTATTCGTCGAAAAATCCGAGTATCGAATAACAAAATCAGTATTAAGTAATTGAGAAAAAATCAAACCGTGTAATATGTGTTTATTGGCACTTTTATTTATCAAGCACATTCTACTTTCAGAGATTGTTGTTCCTTTATACTGTCGCCTAGTCTGAATTTAAGACCCTGCTATGTTTTGACAACACTTAAAGTAATTAGCACCCAAGTCAGTGAGAGTGCATAGTTTTTGTTTATGGCGAGGGACATATAATGATTGGAAATCACAGTTTGAATTAATAAAAATATACCCTAAACTCTTTTATTCGTAGCAAAAATGCTTCCACCCTATTATGTCTGTGAATATTTTAAATAAACCGGCAATTTTAAATCTAGAAAATGTCAATTATGTACAGCAGGTTTTACTTACATGTGAGGGACAATTAAATAGATACCAAAGATACAAGTTGTTTTTTTTTTAAACTTTCGATTATTCTAATGATATATAAAGAGAGCCAGATAGTTGACAGATAGAGTTTGAGAACATAACAAAGCATTGAAATTCAGGAAATGCATTCACGTTTGATATATATAATTGATATTCAATTCAAAGTTCAATTAAATCAAACTTGAATGTTTATTATACTTAATATTGTGTTTATATCTATAAGATTACTTGAACTTTGGTTTTTTTTTCTTTTCACTCTTTAATTGAATTAACCTCGACATTTAAGTCCTGAGATTATGCTCAATCAAAACGAAAAATATACAGTGTACGATCGTGCAAATACGTAGGATTCAATCTTTAATATTTTTGTCTCTTGAATAATGATCGAGTACTTGAGTAGGTAATCGGTTACTGAAAAATGATCGATTAGACATCTCCAATTTAAACTTTTTCCCCAAGAACAACATCTCCAGCATTACTTAAACGGATATTAATGAATTTATGAAAAAGAGTACACTCAAAATTATGCACCTGTCGTCAGATATGTTATGGTTTTAGTGTAGGAATACATTTTCAAAGACATCCTGTTATTTGTTGTATTATTAGGCACATTAATGAAATATATGGAGATAACGAACAGTATTCAAGCTCCAAAGTCCATTAAACATTACAAAATATAGGAGCAGAGCAAACACGGACCTCCAAAACATCAGAGGTGGGATCAGGTGCCATGGAGGAGTGAGCATCCGCTGCCGACCGGTTACATCCTCCGTGTGCTCCTTGTCATGATCGGGAAAAAACGGAAAAATCCGTCGACAATTCAGTGTGTAAATAACGGCCTAACAATTAGTATGAAAAACGGCAGTCAGCATTTGACTCAATGATAAATTGTATTTGCTGACAAGGTCATTGTATCGACCATAGAACTTACGAAATGATGACTTTAAACGAGACTGCTGATATTCTTGTTTCATCAATTGTTTGTCAATAATTTACCTCGTTTTAGAAATTGTACATACGTAGAGCATGCTCTTGCGTATTGAATGAATCGTATGAGAGGTATAAACCCCGTATGCAGGTGATGAAGGTATATTGCTGCATAAGTAAGGGAAGTTGACGATTGAAAAGTTAAAGTCATCAAGTTTATCATAAAGCTTGGTTGTTAGATTATATGCAAGCCGCAAGGCTCAGTCTGACGTTAAGCTAGTTTCTACATGATAACGTCAAAATATGGATTTTGATTTTTTTATAATCACATTTCGTGGACCCGAATTTTTCTTTATTATTTTTTTTTTCTTTATTATGCCACACTGCTCAGTGAGTGCGATGATATTTATATATAGATCATTAATAAGTAAATTATTAAGATTCAAAACAATAATCGATAATTTACGAGCGTCATCACTATAAACAATTTGTATACAGAGGCTGCACAGTCCAGTCCGACGTTGCGCTAGATCGATAACAACGTCATGAATTAGATACATCCTATTTTCATCAAATATCAGTAGTTTTCCACTTCTTGTGGTGTTCCATAAAAAGTACACATCCTTCAAAAGGATCCATCAAAAATCGTATGTACCCATTTTAAATCAATGAACTAAATATATTCCAATAATTTCCAGTCAGTTGAATAATTAGTTTGTCTCTGACGTCTTTTTAAACATATAAAAACATGATTTTACAATTGGATGCTGTTCTGTCCAGATGGTCCACATCGCTCTTTCTGTCAATTTTTGAAACACATTTCTAGCGTTTTATTTCTTAGTATTTTCACTAGCTGTCCAATACGCGATACTATAATTATCAGAAAATGCCGACAACCGCTTTATTTTACACACGTGAAATTTTTATTAAGTTTTGGCTTGTTTTATGAAAGAAATTATCATTTTATTCAAAAAACATTGTTTCAAAGTTTATGACACTTTGAACTTGAGCCGTGCGCACCATCTGCGACCTTTACAGACCGCGATTTTTACAAAAATATTAAATTTACACGACCAAAATCAAACTATCCTGACTCGGATTTTCATAACAATATTTTGGTATAAAATAAGTATATCTAGGACTATGCGTTTGACAAATACGTCATTGTCCACAAACTTTATGGACAACCCTCGTATATATGTATATAATATATATATAATACAAAATCTAGGGTGATCTATATATTTATTGAATGTTATCTTTTCACTTTAATTACTGCAGTAATTGATTTGTAAAATTAGAAAAAAAATTAATTCTAGGAAGGGGAGGTTTGGTGAATTTGAATTAACAAGCTCTGTTACACATCGTCCACAACTAGGGGAGTCGGTAACTCTAAACTGCGTCCCTCCCACCAGCATACCTCCAGCTGATGTTGTATGGGTGCTAAGAGCGGCTGACGGTCGTATTGAACCTATCAACTACGACAACCGAATCTCAATGGATTTAGAAGGTTTGTTTAAAATATATGCATAGATAGCGCATGATATTATGTTAGAAAAGCAATGTGTATGACAACTTAAAAAGGCAAACATGAGCAATTTTGCCAGAGAGTCTTTACTACGATCCTCACATCTATATACATCAGTTTATTAAAATTATTAAGTAAATGCCTAAAAGTGTATGATAGCCGCACCCATGCAAAGGAAATTAAAAGTTAAGGTTTGTATATATATCCCGTCGTCCTGTAAATAATATGATGGCTTATTTATATCAAAATTCTGTATATGACACTACATTGAGAAATTGAGGAACATTTGATGCTCATGAAACTGTACTAACACAAAAGTTTCTTTTATTTGATTGTCTATGTGCTGGTCGTGTGATTTTATCAAAGATATTGTTTATGGAAAGAGAGTAAGGACTTCTTGAGGTTGCGTATACATCTTTGTAACTAAGAAACATTTATACACTCTAATTGTACATTAAAACTCATTTTGGCGATTAAAATTAAATAACAAGAAACAACAAAATATGAATTTAAAAAAAAATATATGAATGAAGGTCATTTTTTGACAAGATCAATTGAAAACAAGTTTGAAATATCCAAAGCGCATAAATAATCTTGGGATACTGTAGCATTGGTATTTAATCGAATGGTTCTCGTATATGGCTCAATTGCTGAATGTCTCTCTATTCCTTCAAAGTAATGTAGCCAAAGCCCCGAACAGGCGGACGCCCACAGCTTTTAAGGAATGGAAAAGTATGAGGATTTTGACCCACTTAGTATCAATTGTATTCAATGCTCATATAATTAGGGTCTAAATATGAAAAAAGACACGTTAAGTGTTAAATTATGTAGTGTTACATGTATTAGTTTCTAGTACTGCAAAGAAAGTGTTGTGTAGTTTCGACAGCGGTCTCCATACAATGTAGCTCAGTCTGGATAATATCAAGGGTACTGGGTTTGATACTCACCTTAACCTTATATATATATATATATATATATATATATATATATAGAGAGAGAGAGAGAGAGAGAGAGAGAGAGAGAGAGAGAGAGCATCTTTTCCAAGTTCTAACAAGCATAACACCAATAGGGGTATAGGATGGAAAAATTAAGACATAATACAAAACGTGTCTGTATCCGTGTAAACTGTTTCCAACACTAAATTCCCGAAAAAATAATAGATCGCTCAAACAAAAAAGTGACATCACAAGAGAAATTCAATTATAATTATTAGTTTAATTTAAGTCTACTCTGTACATTGCGCACTAGATAAATGAGTTGATCACTTTAAGGTCATTTGTACTAACAATTTTTTTTTTTTCAAAATTCATCAAAATAGACCCAAAACTATGTTTATATAAGCATAGTGAATAAATCTGGTTACATAGAGTTTTTTTCCTCAAGATTTTTCAAGAATTTTCTATAAAGTGATTAATTTTTTTACAGATTAACAAGGGGTAACTTAAGTGAAAAATGGAGATAACGAACAATATTCAAGATCATATTCCATTTAAACAATACAAATCCGGAGCAGAGCAAAAACGGACCTCCATAAAACATCAGAGGTGGGATCAGGTGACATGGTGGAGTAAACATCACCGGTCACACACGCCATGTGCTCCTTGTCATGATCGGGTAAACGAAAAAAAATCCGTAGAAGTTTCAGTGTGTAATTAATGGCCTAACAATCAGTATGAAAAACGTCAGTCAGCATTTGACCTAATGATAGCGATTTTGATTTCGATAATGATTTTGTTATGAGAAAGGCAAAAAGCGGAAATTTTGAATATCATAGAAAATTAGGAAAATAAGAATTTGATATCTGATATTTTGACTTAGATATTTGATATTTGATAATTTGCATTCAACCCCAAAACGACCAGAAATATATACTTATCCATGATGCATCCATTTCTTTTTGTAGCAAGTGTCCTTTATTAGTCCCCTACCGGTGAAACCGGAGGGGACTATAGGTTTCCTCTGAGTCTGTCCGTCCGTCTGTCTGTCTGTCCGTCCGTCTGTCCGTCTGTCCCTCTGTCTGTCTGTCAGTCTGTCCCACTTGGTTTTCCACACTTTTCTTCTAAACGCTTGCAGATATTGAGCTGATTTTTGGTATGTAAGTGTATCTTGATGAGTTACAGATCAAGTTTGCATTTCGTTTCGCTTCATTGATTTTTGACGGAATTACGGCCTTTTCAATTTCTAAGGGTTTTCCGCAATTTTCTTCTAAACGCTTTCGAATATTGAGCTGATTTTTGGTATGTGACTTTACCTTGATTAGTTATAGATCAAGTTTGCATTTCGTCCCGCTTCATTGATTTTTGACGGAATTATGGCATTTTCAATTTTTAACGGGAACCAGATTACACTTGCCGGTAGGGGACTAGTATTGCTAATGCAATACTCTCAGAATGCTTGTTAATTGTATTTCTCCTACTGAAGTTAACAACATTGACTTCTGTTCATCAATACTTTGTTGTCTCTGAATATTTTTCCTTGGGGTAAATCACAGGTACCATAGGTTGAATATGAAATAGTTCAATTCAATATGAACAAAAACATTATGCTGTAATGCATAGAGGGTACTTAATGTATATCAGAAGTTTGGTTAGAACCACTAATATTACAAGTATCAAAAACAATATAATTTTTATGTCTTGTTTGAATTCAGCAATGCAATTTGTATAACATTCTATTAAAAAAAATTACAAAAATCGATTAGAAATAACATTTACGTAGGATTATTTTTTGTACAGGAAATATGACAAAGATTGATTGATTGATTGTATGTTGTTGACGTCCCATTCGAGAATTTTTCAATCATTTAGAGATGACATCATATACCGGTGAAGGGCTTCAAATATAGATGTTTACTCGGCACACAGGGCCATTGAGCAGTGAGGGATCTTTATTGTTCCAACGCCTGCCGTGACACGGGGTGTCGGTTTTTAAGGTCTCATCCGAAAGACCCGCAACTTTCACTTCAAATTTCCGAGCGCTTGGCGAAGGAACAGCTGCAGCCTATTTTATCGACTAAGTTCAGTCGCTGTCGGGATTTGAACCCACGAACTTCCGATCAAAGAGCGAGCGCTAAGATATATTAAGACGAAAACACGTATTTGTTTCATATTTGGATATTTTACTAGAAAGAGACGTTAATGGTAATCTAACAACCAAGCTTTATGATAAACTTGATGACTTTAAATTTTCAATTGTCCCTTACTTATGCAGCAATATACCTTCATCACCTGCATACGGGGTTTATATCTCTCAGTTGATTCGATACACAAGAGCATGCTCTTCGTATGAACAATTTCTAAAACGAGGTAAGTTATTGACAAACAAGTTGATGAAACAAGAATATCAGCAGTCTAGTTTAAAGTCGTCATTTCGTAAGTTCTATGGTCGATAAAATGACTTTGTCAGCAAATACAATTTATCATTGAGTCAAATGCTGACTGACGTTTTTCATACTAATTATTAGGTTATTTATACTTTGAATTGTCGACGGATTTTTCCGTTATTTTGCGACCGTGACAGGGAGCACACGGAGGATGTGACCAGGTCGGCAGGGGATGCTCACTCCTCCATGGCACCTGATCCCACCTCTGACGTTTTAGAGGTCCGTGTTTTCTCTGCTCCAAAATTTGTATTGTTTAATGGACTTTTGAGCTTGAATACTTTTCGTTATCTCCATATATTTGATTCAATATGTTGGAACTTTGGAGCTACTTAATTTTTACTTATTGAAATTCTAAACTTGATTTTGCTAGAAGTATTCGCTGTATGTACTAAGTGATACATTTAGATCATTTCTTCATATGTTAACATACTTTGCCAAAATTTGCAGATATACTGAAGAAAAAAATCACAGTGAAACTAATATTGGTATTAGTCTGAAATTTGCACATATCTGGTCCCAACTTTTATAATAGTTTTAATTATACTGTTAACTTTTGAACACCACATTCATAAAAAGCTTGATGAAAGAACATACTTTATAGATTTTTCTACCCAAAATATATTTTAATTGGCATTTTTTTCAATATCATATGTTATTTAAACTATTCAACATACATGTATAATAAAAAGAGGTACTTACTGTCACGAATGCATTTGATGAAAAATAATTGAAGTGAAAGTAACAAAGAAGTTACAGATTAAGAGCAAAATGATCAAGATAACTGTACCTTTTGCTTTGTAATATGCATACTTACCCCCAATTTTCTATTCGATGTACAGTTATGCTATATGTTTAGATTATGCAAAGTAAACTTCTAAGCAAAAAAAGTCTTTGGAATAACCAGTGTAAGAAGTGGTTTACCTTAATTTAAAAGAAACTTGAAATTACATGTATTTATCACTTATCAGTGAACCCGGAAAACAAGAATGAAGGTGTATTTTCCACCTTTGCAGGACGACTATACATTACCAACGTTCAAGAAGAGGACTATAGAGAAGGAAAAGGCTATATCTGTATGGCCATTAATTACGTCTTGAGGAAGAACACGTTTGATAAGGCTCACTACATCATCCCTCGTGGAAGTAAGAAAAAAAATTAGGATGGATTTTTTTATCAAATTTTTAACTTTGTATATAGTTTACAATCATTAACATTGGTTGACTACATCTGTTATTTTGTGTTTGCTTTCATATTGCAGCTGAATTTACCTATATTTTCTTGTTTGTTGTATTTGCTAGATATTAGAATTTTTACCAAAAAAAGTTTTTCACTAATTTTTTAACTTCGGCTTCGTTGAAATATGTCTGTTTGGGAAATTGTAAAATTCTCTAAATGTTAATAAATTAGAGAACTCAAAGTTTAGTACATTCTTCATCAATTGATTAGCATAATCATAGATAAGCGCATTTGCAGCAAGGCTTCAATATGTATTGTCATTGACTTGTTTTTGTACATATCTTAGCTGATTACCGCTAAATTAAATATGTCTTCAGTATAGAACGATGGTTCACGTTTTTTCTGATTGTAGTGTCACAAGTTAAAAGACCTGCTGAATATCTATGGGCCTCACCCTCTGAGCAAATTGGTCTAAAGGGCGAAACATTTAAACTTAAATGTATATTCAGTGGAAAGTAAGTTAAGCAGGTATATATTTCATTTAATCTAGATAACATTGTAATTGTTTACTTAAAATAGTGTTCTTTTATAAATTTGAATGTCTTTTAGATCAAACTTTTTTAAATATTTAAATCAAGCAAAAACTATTTACCATACCCTTTATTTCACCAGGAATAATAATTACAAATGTTGAAGGAATAAATTATTGTACTAGGTTAGTGAAATCAATTTTCCATTAAATCTCTATATTTTAACCATCATTGACATTTAGTGATGTGTAAACAAAGATGGTTTTTTGTATTACTAAGTCCCACTCCAGAAGTATTCTGGTTGAAAGATCAGAAAACCCTCCCTAATTATTACGAAGTCTCAATTGGGGGACAGGAACTGACGATTCCTAACCTTAGGGAGGAAGATGCCGGGTCCTACGGGTGTTATGGCACGAACACCCAAGGACCACGAGCCTTCAGAAATTTTGTCATCAGAGTAGAATGTAAGCTATTCACTATGTAAATTAATCCCTAATACTTGATTAAGAAAAACAGATAAATTTTCAGAAACATACATGTATATTCAAATTGGAATTATATCGTTCCTTTAACTTTTTTTTTAGATTATTCGAGTCATTGCATGGTATTTAAATTGAGTATTTCATCAAAACAATATTGAAGGAAATTTGAATTTTATTGATTCAGTTAAAAGAATGTTTTTGTACATTTAGGTGTAAAACTGATGAAATACTTATATACATGTATTACATTTTTAAAATCAAATTGTCATGTGAAATAAATTTTACATTAGCAAAGCCATATTGGGAAGTTGAACCAAAAGATGTTGAGACTAGTCCTGGGACATCTGTGACCTTCATCTGCAAGCCCAATGGTAGCCCTGAACCAAAAGTACTATGGCTTATTAATGGAATTAAGCTGGAAGGTAATATGCCTTAGAAGTGAATGAATAACTATTTCAATAAATGTTATTTCTATTAATTTGTATGAGATGCCTTCTTTTACGATAATGCTGTAAAATATTTTTAAAGTTATATAAAAATATACCTAACATTCTGTATTTAAAGAATCTACAGTGCCAATCTTTCAAAGTGACAGGTTCTTGAAACCTGATGCCAACAACTTGACCTTTATGAACCTGAACAAAAATGATCACATGGTTATACAATGTAATGCCTCCAACATCCACGGTTATGTGTTTTCTGATGTCTATTTAAATGTTTCGGGTAGGCGATTTATGCTTATATGACAATAGACATTTGGGGAGTCATTTTTTTAATGAGAAATTAATATTTCAATATCAATCTTTGTCATGCCATACAAGTTTTACAGTCTAAATCTCTTTATGGAACGTTTAGCTAGTTATTATTGTGAAAGACAAGAGATTTAAAAATTCTAAAAAAAAAGATGTGACCAACAACATTAAAATACAATTTATACTATCTTTATATATCAGAAGAAGAACCTGCTATCATTGTCCCACCAGCTCGTGAGCTTAAGGTCGCAGAAGGTCAAAACATTGAGCTGACCTGTATAGCACGTGGACAACCAAAACCCAGAACCACCTGGAGAAAAGAGGGGGAGCAGATAGCTGGGGGAAGACACCAAATTCAACCGAACGGAAACCTTCACATAGAGGTAAATCTATATGAACCCCCACATGTCATACTATCGTTTACTGATTTTTATTTGAAAATTGAAATAGGTACACGAATATATGTACACATTTTAATTTTCAAATAAAAGATAGGAAACGACAATACATGACAATTTTTGATTTCGCTCTCCCAGCTTATTGGAGAGTATTAAGTACATACTAGTTGTTTATTAAAAGTTGTTCGGATGCGTTACTGAAAATCTATCCATATTAGATTTTGTCATCCAAAGATATAAAATTACGGTCAATACTAGTATACAGACTTGTATGTAGTATCCCATATCCTTGTTTAACTTGAGTGTTTTTTGTATTTTCTGTCATTTTCTGGTTTACAGAGTGTGTTGTTTTCCGACGCTGGTAATTATACCTGCCATACCTATAATAAATTTAACTTTGATGAAGCCTGGGGAGTTCTGATCGTCCGAGGTACTTGGTCAATATGTTTTTTTTCCTGTAATTGTCATGTTTAGTGCAAGAACTGCTATGTTCTAACTGGTGAGAGAGTATAAATTTGAAATGCAAATTCTTGTCTCTTTAGCTTATTGTTCAGAATGTACTTTAAAGAGTAAAATCTAGTTCTTACATTCATAATTTTCAAATTCAAACCTTTAGAGTTTCTTTTTTTAAAAAATACCTTTTGCAGCTAAAACCAGGATTGTCAAGAGTCCTAAAGGGTTGGACGTGACTGCAGGAAGCGACGCTAAATTTACCTGCTCGGGAACTACGGATTTGGCTGAGATTAAAAATCTGAAAACTTCTTGGTTGAAGAATAACAATCCACTCAAAGCAAATCACCCGCGAATAAGGCAGAATTTTCAGGATGGCTCGCTGATCATAAATGGCACCATTGTCCAAGACTCTGGAACATACACTTGCGTGATCTCCAATGGATTAGATAATGCTACAGTGGGAGCCAATTTGATAGTAAAGGGTAAATCCTGGCTTACTGATAATTTTCTGAAATAGTAGGTTTTTTGAATAAATTGTTTAGCTACAGATTTTGTGATGTATAGTGTCCCTTGAAACTGATGCAAATCTCGTTTCAAGTTTTGATAATAAATCCGATTTGATATTTAATAAATATAGGATCTCCAATGGTCTCTAGTTAGATATGATTTTTTTTATCCAAGGAGTTGTGCGTTTTTATTCCCGAGCCTTGGCGAGGGGATAAAAAACACAAAACGAGTTTGATAAAAAATCAGATCTAAGCAATATAAAAGCAAACTTCTTTTATCACATGTCCAACACATAGTTATTTCATGTTTTACACTGATTTATATATGTAAAATCCATTTAATATGACATTCAAATTCACGCAAAAACCATTGTAACGTCAAAACCGTGGATATGAAAACGATATCCCATGAGCTATACCCACTGTATAAAGCAGTAAACATTATATATATATATATATATATATATATATATATATATATATATATATATATATATATATATATATATATATATATATATATATATATATATATATATATATATACTCAGCTATGTTAAGGAAGGATATGGAAAACGGGATCTAAGTACCTTCTTAAAATGTATTATTTTTAAAAACTTTATAACAAAGTAACTGTTTACATGGAGGAAAGGTAATATAGATATCCATAATGGATAGGTTTGGGTCCGCACACGGTACCATTTACATCGCATGTATCAGCTGTGTGTCACGTGACTGGTATAAAAATAGAAATGTTAGGCTGAATGTAGAAAATGACCCTAGTGCAAGGGCATACGCATGTTTTTGGAGAGAAAAATTGTTACACATTAAAAAAAAATTAAATCGGCTACCCGAAAAGTGCTGGGAGCTAGTTTGAACTGTTTCGGAAATACTCGTAGTTTTGCTGAAAATGCGTACAATAGCTGAAAATTCCCACTTCGCTTAAATTCCGTCATGAATAAAAATAATGTTACCCTGACCAGAATCAGCTCCCAGCACTTTTTAAAATATACATGATATAAGTAATTGATATTCCGTATTTCAGCTCAAACAGTCTAGTCTATGCCCTTGCACTTTTGAGGTTAATCAGGAATACACTTATCGTCTTAGCGATATTCTTTACATTCTCTGTCGCTGTGCAGCTCCATAGCACCTAGATAAATTGATAATCTACATAACTGTTTTAAATAAATTATTTCCTTTCATTTTTATTGATTAGATTTAGACATTGTCGATGGTTTAATATTTATTTAAGCATTTTTGTAATTATTAAACCAATAGATCCACTCCTCTGGATCACTTGTACTGCGTCAAGTCAAGGCTAGTGACGTCATTTATGACATAAGATTTGCTTCTAATTACTTGGCAGTATTGTTATCAAATGTTGTGATTTTACATGCTTTTATAAATAATTAATAAAATAAATGAATGCAAGTGGTCATTTACGCATTATCATGTAGTTTTGTTAATTTTTGTCGCTTGTGAAATTTTTTAATGACGTCACAATGAAACTTCCCATACGGTGCATTACAAATGTGAACTCAGGCCTTCTTTAAGGTAGGTTTACTGCTTAAAAATTCTTAAGAGAAAACATATCCTGAAAATTTGATATAATGTTCCTTAGAATTTATAGCATTTTACCTGTAATTTTTATTAAATTTGTCTACGTAGTTTTAATGCTGTATTACTGTAAACGCGGTATAGTTTTTAGTATTATTTTTACGCTTTACTATTGAAATATATAGAAAAATGACGTTTTTAAGCCAATTTTGCGGAAAGAGTTTCTTTAAAAAAGGTTGGATAACTTTTTAAAGACGTAGACGAATTAGTCAGGAATTTCAAAATATCCAGATGAGGTAAAATTAAAACTATTGAGATAAAAAAAATCAATATGTCTTCTCGCTAGTTTTTTTGCTAAATAATTTCAAAGTTTGCTTTTATATTGCCAAAATGTTGCGTTTATGGCGTTATTTATGACTTCAACGTCATGTGTTGAACGTAATCACGTTTACATACGAGAATAAATATTTTACATTTGGAATATGCAAGATCTAAAAGGTGACATAGTTGCAAAATATCATTTTATTATTGCGGAAACATGTTAGGATGACCAGCAACTTATTTACACTCGTATTGTGAAATTCGTATTCTGCCCACAAAGTCAGAATGAACGGTATATTAAACATTCTCGTGTATTAGAATTAACATGCAGCGGCAACACGGCGAGTGATAAAATATTAATTCATGTATTTTTAGGATGTTCATGTTCAGTAAGATTTCAAGCATAATACATGTTCAGTAAGATTTCAAGCATAACACATGATTTTGATCACTCCATTCGAAAACGGTGAAGAAAAAAAAAATCCCGATACTGAGAAAAATGGGGGGTTGGCAGGGTTGGGTTGGTTACCGACAATGTTCTTTCTATATCAGTTCGAAGCTGGTATATAGCCCTTACTCTCAAACATTTCTTAATTCCGAATTCTCTCAATCAAATTTCCATAAGCAAAATGTAAAACACTTGCATTTAGCTTATACACAGAAAGCTTTTCTTATATAGAAAAAAAATGTACTTGATACTTGTAAATTGTTTACAGTGTCATATAGGTCTGATGGTCCGAGTGTTTGTTTAAATTTATTTTTTAAATGCATTTCACAATTTGTTAGCCTGCATATACATAGCGACTATACGAGATTCAAATACAAAATAAACAAATAACAATTATGATTATTGAAATAATAATAATAAATAACAGGAAAATACATGTACTGTAATTCAATTTCATCCGTTTTTAGTGTTGAGGATTGATTTCATCCTGAAAAAGTTTCGCCCCGGCAAACATGGTGTAATACGCACTTGAGCCCCTTTGAAGTGCAAATTACGTACGCACATACAAACCTTCAAGTTTTTAGCAAAGAAATTTAGGATAATTTTCTTTTTGCATACCATAACTTTTACGCTTACTCTTTTGATTGACTTTTAGCCGTTTAGTAACACTTACAATATAAATTATTCCTTGCATTTGGTATCGTATTTAGTTTGCTCTAAGACATTACACATAATCACATCAGAATTCAGACTGTCATTTAATAATACCCGATCTTGGTTCATGCATGTACGTGGTTAAGGTACAATAGCATGCACTTTGAATAAATCTACTTGATTCGTACCTGTAGACTATTTATGAAATTATTTCAGAGAATTATACGGGAAACAACGCAACGTCGCCTTTGTGACGTAACTGACGTCATAATCAAATGTGCACAAAACAACCCCTCGAATCTTCGAAATTGTGTACCAAAATTGATGACAAAAGCTAACCCGCGACCTACCTTAACATAGCTGAGTATATATATATATATATATATATATATATATATATATATATATATATATATATATATATATATATATATATATATATATTTATCCCATGTTTACCTCTTTATCCCGTGGATATGACTCATTGGATAAATTCTTCATAATCCACAGTTGTGACGTCACAATGGTTTTTGCGTTAACGCGATGAAGTAAAATAAAGTGGAGTCCTATATAAAACAGTGTAAAACATTGGATGTGAAGTATTTAACATGGGATAAAAAGAATCTCCCATGATTTGTAGTTGGATATGACTTTTATCCAACTCGTTGTGTGTTTTTATCCCCTCGCCAAGGCTCGGGGATAAAAAACACACAACTCGTTGGATAAAAATCATATCCAACTACAAATCATGGGAGATCCTATATATATATATATATATATATATATATATATATATATATATATATATATATATATATATATATATATATATATATATATATATATATATATATATATATATATATATATATATATTTAAGAAATTATGTACCATTTTTAAACATCTATCAAGATACAAATACGGGTTGGTCACGAGATCAAATTCCATAAAGCCCGAAGGACTTTATGGTAAATTTGATCTCGTACCAACCCGTATTTATATCCCGATAGATGTTTAAAAATGATACATTATTACTTATATTTACATTTATGACTTATTCATATTTTATGTTTTCCTGATTATAATCTTTAACGCGTGAAATGTTTTATTTTTCAAACTCAACGGCACGTATTTGATCCATTGATTGCTCGTCGACCCTTTATGACGTCACTGAGAAATTACGTCGAAAGTTTATGATGCGAGGAACCCGTGTTTATTTGGATCCATATAGATACGCGTTGCTTTTAATAGTGTTAAATAAAAGAAAACATTTGCAAATATATATATATATATATATATATATATATATATATATATATATATATATATATATATATATATATATATATATATATATATATATATATTCAGAGAAAGAGAGAGGAGTATACATGTGTCATCTCCAGTAACACAGATTTTGCAGGGAAAGTCCACGACACTGTAGCAGAATGCACATATTAAATATAATTATAATTCTCTGTCTTTAGTGTCCATTTACAGATAAACCAGAGCCACCGAGAGAAGTGTTTATAAAAGTGTGCATGAATACATGGGCAGAAATTGGTTGGACCAAAGGTGCATCTAACAATGATCCGATTAGGTATTTTACAATTCAGTTCAACACATCCTTTAGTCCTGACGAATGGTTCATTGGAGCAAATAATATCTCGGCAACTCAGAATACCGCACGTGTCCTTCTTTCGCCTTGGGCTAATTACACTTTCCGTGTTTTGGCTACAAATGAGATTGGTACCAGTAAACCTAGCCTTCACACAATTTTTCCCTGTTCGACTATGGAAGCCAGGCCATCTAAAAATCCAGAGAATGTCCGCACCATTGGAAACAAGAAAAACTATCTGATAATTGAATGGACGGTATGTTTTGTGAAGATATATCATCATTTCAAAGTAATGAATGAAGAATAATTGATTGTTACTCAATGTTGTTAAGGTTAGACGACACGTTCCTCAATAATTATAATTTTCCCCAAAAATGTGATTGAAGTACTATTGCTGATTTAAGACATTTCCTCAAAAAATTTAAGTACCTTACCAGGCATTTTGGAAGATTCCAGAGGTTGGTATTTCCTATACAATCATACTACAAATCACTTGAATGGCTGATATAAGAAGTATATTAATTTTTTAGAAATCTTTTGAAAAATTTGGAAATCACAAGATAATAAAATTATAATTAATTTTAGTATGTTATGCAAAGATATAAAAACAAATATTTGAGGAATGAATATTTGAAGAATGTGTCGACAGACCTAAAAAGTAATTTATGTTTTCCACAATGGTCTACATGTATATTTGAAACTGCAATTTCACGAAATTGATATGGCATGAACATTATGTACATGTACATACATACTGAAGAGACACATAATATTTAATATGTCAGAATCTGTAAATGTATATTGAAGAGAAACAACCTATTTAATATGTCAATGAATTAAAGATTTCATAATATTTATAAGTAAAAAAAAATCATTTTCAATTTTTCTTCTGTGGTTATAGAAGGATTACCGTGTTAAAACCATAAAATATTTCGTGGTAGAGTTTATATTTTGTGAGACCGGCCCTTGACCACAAATTCACATCCTCAATCAATTTTGAATAAAGATATGACGTTTTGAACAAGATGTTTTTCCACGAAATAACGTCCCTTCACACATCTGTAAAATTGTTGAAAATCTACAAAAAATGACTCTCTATAAATTACAAGATTTTGCATGTATTTACCATATTTTTTACTATGACAAAGTTGTCAAGTTAAACCTTTTCACCTACTTGATTATACAGTGCAAATTTCACGCACTGTTTGAGATACACGTACTTTTTAGTATTTTCATTTTAATAGTTTTCGTAGTGTTTTATTCCATTTTGTTTCATTTTGATCAGCCTATGCCCCCCATTGAGCACAATGGTCGTCAGTTTAGATACATCTTGACCATTCAAAGAGAAGGATCTGGCTTTAATGGCATCTATGTGTCCAGCATCTTAGACTGGAAGACATCTCACTGGGAGCAACGAACCAATGACATTTTCGTGCCGTACATTATCACAATCAGAGCAAGCAATGAACTTGGCGACTCAACAGCACCAGTACAAGAGGTCAAAGGTTATTCAGCGGAGGGAAGTAAGTAATTTAAATGCACATCAGCATAATATTTTAATGGCATTCTAGAATGTCAATAACTGTGAGCTATTTAATGTGCGAGGGTTGTCTATAACTTTCGTGGACAAATTGTCCTAGACATACTTATTGTATACCAAAATATTTGTTATGAACATCCAAGTCAGAATAGTTTGATTTTGGTTATTTAACTTATTTTTTTTTTGTTAAAAAAAAAAAAAAGAAAAAAAAAGAAAAATCGCGGTCTTTTAGGGTCACAGATAGTGCAAACGGCTCGGGGTTGGTTAAAATGTCATAAACGTTTGTTATAAATTATTCTGCTAAAATTATTTTTTCTTCATAAAACAAGACATAACTTAAAAAAAAAATTCAATTTTTCTCAAATGAAGCTGTTGTTGTCATTTTCTGATATCTTTAGTATCGATTATTGGAAAGATAGTGAAAATATTAAGAAAAAACCGCAAGAAATATGTTTCAAAAAGTGACAGATAAAGCAACGTCGGCCCTCCGTATGGAATTATGATATTAAATTTTATTGAAGGCAGCTCAAAGAAAACTAAACTCAACATCTTGAAAAAGTTATTTGCAATGATGAATTTATGACCTTTGACCTTTTGACCTCAAAATCAAAAGGGGTCTTCTTTAGGCCATAAGGAGTTGTGATATGTAATTTTATTGCAAATCCTTGAAGAATTTTTTAAGATATCTCCCGGAAACGAAAGTGTTACTTACAAACAGAATGTATTAATTTAATACCTTGACTTTTGACCTCAAAATCGATAGGGGCATCTTTTTGCCGTGGCGTGTTGTGGTATAAATTTCATTACAAAAGCTCAAAAGTTCTTGAGATATCGTCAGGAAACGAAAGTGTTACACACAAACAGAATGCATGAATCTATGACCTTGACCTTTGACCTAAAAATCAAAAGGGGTATTCTTTAGGCCATAGGAAGTTGTGATAAATAATTTCATTGCGAAAGATCAAAGGCTTCTTGAGATATCGTCTGGAAACGGAATCGTTACTCAGAAAGAGAATGTATGAATTTATGACATTGACCTTTCACCTTTTTGACCTCAAAATCAAAAGGGGTATTTTTTCGGCCATACGGAGTTAAGGTATAAAATTTAATTGAAAAAGCTCAAAGGCTTCTTGGGATATCGTCAGGAAACGAAATTGTTACACACAAAAAGAATGTATGGATTTATGACCTTGACCTTTCGTCTTTTGACCTCAAAATCAATAGGGGTCTTCTTTCGGCCATACGGATTTGAGGTATATAATTTCATTGCAAAAGCTCAAAGGCTTCTTCAGATATCGTCAGGAAACGAAAGTGTTTCACACAGACAGAATAACGGCTAGTTATACAGACAGACTCTAGTTAATATCACCCATTTTCACTGAAAGCGGGGGACAAATAATAGCGACTGTCCACGAATGTTTGATAAATAGAGAATAATACATTGCAAAATCTGTATCACACCCCATTTCAACCCGAAAATCCAAAATCAGCCCGAGGGCTTTTGTTTTATCATATATTTGAAAATAATGTCAAAAAAACCATATATGAACTTGTAGATTAATTACTGAATTTTTCAATAATTGAATGTTTTCTGTTTTTGATGAATTTCTGTTTCTCATTATTTTTTCCAAAGGTTATGTATTCAGCGATAAGAAATGAAATAATTAGAAATTTAACAAATAATTATTTTGAATAGCATAAAATATCTGATGAAAAATACAATTTAAATAAACTTCATAAACAATAGAAAAAGATCCGAGGTACTCCGAATGAAAAATACAGAGATGTTCCGGAAAGGTGTAATAAAGGGGGTTATAAAGGGTGAAATAAATAATGGGTGCTGATACAGGGTGTGTTATACAAGGTGCGTGCCTGTATTCATAACAGGGATGCAAAAATCCCTTATTTTATAACAAATATATAATAAAAGTTCAATATCCATGTTTTTGGCGTTATCTCGAAACTAGCTTAACGTCAGAGTAGGAGCTGTTGCTTGCATATACAATCGATTTACACCTGTAACTTTCCTAAAAGAGTGTATTGTCTTAGTTTTTATACATTTACTAAATCATGGTCTGTTTCAAAATAATATTGGGTAGTGTGGTCATTATTAAAATATTATAGCATTTGTCTACGAAATTTATGGACAACCCTCGTAAATACACTGTAAATGTAAATACACTTTAAATGTTAATACACTATAAATATGTGTAAGAGAAATATCCATTTGAATATATATTGCACGCTTATAACCTCAGTTATTTGATCACTGAGTGAAATAATACTGAGAGGAGAATAACATCATTATCTCTGACTAATTGAAGTGATTGTACCTATTGTGCATCGTGTAAGACATCCATTGATAACATAATTTTCAGCTCCCACTCTCACTGTGTCAGACCTAACCATAGACTCAACTGTCACAGAATCCTCTGTCATCTTCTACTGGGACTGGGATGAGAATCTCAACACCCCACAGTCAGGCACCCCAGTGAACGGAATCTTCAGGGGATTTAAGGTAATGGATATTTAAGTTTAATATATTTCCAAAGAAATTTTGAACAAAGGAAAACAAATGTAATTTAATTACAGGTATTTATTATCTGAAAGAATTGCATGAGATTTTTAATGGAAATTTTAACACAATAATCAAAGTTAGTTGTCAGAAATTTTTAGTTAAATTGCCTCTCTTCTAAATAAAATATCAAATATTCATTTTAAAGTTATCATTAATGATAATATAATTATGATAAATAATTGTACTAAGTAAATCAGATTCAGTACTGGGTCAGAGGTCAGAAAGAACAAACATTCCAAGAGGCAGAGATCCCAGTCAGTGAACTTACTCTCCGATACGAAAGAAGAAAGAAGCGAGCCATCCAGTCGTATAAATTTATCTTAGAGGGGCTCCTGGGAAACCAGGACTACGAGGCCCAGATGAGGGTAATGAACACGTATTATAAAGGACCCCCTAGTGATGTTGTGTCATTCAGGACAACTCTGTGAGGTTTGTTTCATTAGTCGTTGATATAATTTGACAAAATTTACAACCGGTATTGTATCTTTTTTTTTCAACTAATAAACGATATTCTTTGTTAAACTTTGGTGAAGTTCAAAATGGTAGATAAATAAATGTGTTTTTAACTGATAGAAAATTCTTTATTACTGATGGACGTCACGCATTAAATCTTAACGTGGACTTTTGAACTTTAGTGTTGACATGACGTAATTTAAAGCTATATATGGCGTATCTTAGCTAAAATAATAAAAATACGAGACTGAGTGTAGATGAACATATTTGTTATTTACTTCCAAATTAAAATTTTCACCGATTTTGAACTTGAATAACCCCACGTTTCTATAGTTAAATTGACTTTAAATTGTGTCTGATATTTAAATGTGGAGTCGGTAAATAAATCTGTTATTGTTTTTAAATTTCTAATATCTGTGAAACGCGATTGATTTAAGTTGTGTAATTTGTAGGAAAGTCCTATTTTTATATAAAGTAATGAAACAAATAGAAAGATCTTTTCAATATTAGTTAGTCTGAACTTATCAAAAATACGCCATATTTGACTTTAAAGAAGATAACCGTTGTCTGTTGCAGTTCCTAGGCAGTGAGGAATCTTCGTATGGGACAGTGAGGAAGGTACCTTAGAAGTCGATAATATTTTATACCCTATGTTACGATGCAATCTCTTCGACAAAAATTTTTAATGCGAATTATACTCATTCAATTTCGATAATCTTGTTCAGAATAAACTAATTATTAGTACATTGAAATGTATCTCCCTATGGGACATACGTGGCAGCTTTCAGCTTTTGTTGAAAAACATGACATTTGAGGACAAAATTTCTCTATAAGAAGCGATTTTTGTAATAATTTGCACTTTCGTAAAAGCAGTGTGGCACACATGATCAGAGATTTCCTTCAAACTTTACATGGCATAAAGGCTTTATTATAAAAGTAATTTTGGGAAATACTCGGATGACTGGTTTCCATGGCAATGATCTTAAAGTTGAAAAATGCGATTTTTTGACAATTTTGTTACCTAACAGGACTGAATATTCTTGCAACAATTGTCAATTTCCCTTACTTATGTAGCAATATACCCTTATCATCTGCATATAGGGTTTATGTCTCTCAGTTGATTTGATACGCAAGAGCATGATCTACGTATGAACAATATTTAAAACGAAGCAAGCTAATGAAAACAAGTTGATGAAACAAGGATATCAACAATCTCGTTTGAAGTCATCCTTTCGCAAGTTCTCTGGTCGATACAATGACCTTGTCAGCAAATAAAACCTATTATTAAGTCAAATGCTGACTGACGTTTTTCCTACTTGTTAGGCTATTATTTACACACTGAATTGTCTACGGATTTTCCCGTTTTTCCCGATCATGACAATGAGCTCACGGCGGGTTCGACCGCTCGGCAGGGGATGCTCACTCCTCCATGGCACCTGATCCCACCTCTGATATTTTTGGAAGTCCGTGTTTGCTCTGCTCCTGATTTGTATTGTTTATAATTTTGGACTTTGAGCTTGAATACTATTCGTTATCTCTATATTTTCTTACGACCTATTTCATGTGGATTTTCAAAAAATTCTCTTTACCACCTTAAGCAGTCATTCCTAAATATGTAGTTAATTACATTCTTTGTATCAGAAAGCCAAACTGAGGATTCAAAAAAGCAGGAAAATCTTTTTTCAACTTTTAGGCCTGTTGCCTTGGATTCAGAAATCCATAGCAATGAAATTATCATTAGCTAAAGTTTGCAGGTTGAAGGCCTACTTTGCAGGAAGTTTCAAGTAAATCCAAGATCATGCGCACCACAATAGGCTAATTGCTTACAGAAAATGGCTCTTAATAGTTCTTCCGCAAGAACGTTGTATTTTCTAAATAGTTATTAATCGGTGGTACATTGGTTGTACATAATATTGAATAATGTTGGTATGCTGTTTTAAGTTATTTGTTCAGAGTAAAACATGTTAAACTTATGATATACAGATTAGGTAATTCATTTTCTCCAGGTATTATCTGTGTTTCACCACTCCCGCCCAGTTGTTCTTTTCTCCTATTCATACAAAAGAAACAAATTATGAAACACCTAGGACGATTCTGATTGTCAGGTTTAATCTGTGCATTTCAAAGTAAACCCAAAATGCACCTGTCCATGTTTGTATAATTTGTATAGTGGAAGAAACAGTTGCCATAACCTGCGCTGGTTAGAAACCGTTTTTTTCCAACTCGGGGCTTTTAAAAATTTCTGTTAATCTAAATCTAAATAGTCAACATGCCATCTTTAAGAATATTTAGGGTATTATCTAAAGCCTATTAACTAAGGTTAATAAAAGCACTTATTTATCATGGTAAACCACATAGATTCTGCTTAACGGTCTATTGAGCGTATTAACTCCATTTTGATGTTATATCAAGTTTTACAAATATTCTTTGCAAACATTGATGTTAATACAATTTAAAAGGCAGCTATATTTTTACAATTGAAAAAATGCTGACATTTTGGTTCTTACAGCCCTTGGAAAACGGAAAACTTTTATTTCAAGTTCATTAGGATATATCGAGTCCACATATGAAGGCCACAGCAAGCGTTTTCTTCTTCTCATTTACAAGTTTCTGATTAAATTCTGCTTCATATGAATATAAAAATAGATCTGCTAATAACGGGGCGTAATTGGTACCGTGGGAATTCCGACAGATTGTCAGAAGACAGAAGATAATTTTGCAAATGACCAATGACAAGGTATGTAAATTTACGAGTTCAATTTTTATTGAAAAAGATGTCTATGATGTGAAAAAATCTGGATTTTAATTTATCGTGAGGAATGGTTGTATACAGTGTTTGCAAAGTCGTACGTTTTGATGTTATTGATTTTTGTAAAATATTGTAATTTCAAATTTTCTAAAATTCCCTTGGAGTTTTTATTTATCCACATCCGATTTACCTCTCGAATACTAGTATATTGTTGTACAGTACTGAAATTTCTCCTCCATTGCTGTTACTATTTCGGTGAGAAGTAAAGAAAAAGGCTTGGAAGAACATCTGCTGGAACCCGTTATGTGTCTTTGTTTACGTGGAATTTTATGAAGTTTAGGAATCCAGTGTAGGTGTGGTAATTCAAATTCATTTTGATTGTTTGGAATATTGAAAATATTTAAAACTGACATATGATTATGAAAAATTTCCTCCTTAGAAAGGGAGCTATGGGCATAAGTTAGATTACCGCCAGCAGAATTAAATCCCAGATCCTCTAAAATACAATTAAAATAATGAGCCTTACAAACAAAGTCAATGCTGTTACCTGCTTTGTCAGCTGGGACCAGTAATTCTGATCCTGTAATCTAATTCATTTTTCACTTCTGAATTATTGAAACAGGATAGATGGTTTTCGCATTGCCCCTTAATGCTAGATTTTAACATCCATCTGATACATTTAATCCATTCTGACAACGTGTCAAGGTCTCCGTTTTCATGTTTGGCCCATCGCCTGGCGTAATCTTCCACAGAATTCAAAATATTTATGAAATTATGAAGCCAGTTCCTAAATGTTGGCCCTTAAAAAATACCGGTAAGTGATTTAATGTTCTCATTATTAACTATATTACGCCACCAGTAATGACGTGTCCAGCAGGACTATAGTTGTAGGGTGAAGAAGAACATGAACATGTTGGAGGATTATGTTTCAGTTGTTCGATATCTAGGCACTGTAGAGATTTTTTTGTAATTAATTAATTGTATAGTCGATGTATATTTGTAAGAAATTCAAGGCGAGGACTTCGACTTGAAATATGGTGGAATACAAAACTGGATCCTTTTGTGATTAAGAATATTACTTATATTAAGTGCGATATTTCCTTTGTTGACATATTGAAGTTTACGGAACAAACGGGTTGTTTGAGCAGTATTTTCTTCTGTAAAACGTGGCGGTTTAAAAAGCCTATGATTTGCAATATCCATAATGACAGATCCGAGCCTGTATTCTGGTGGCGAGGAAACCAAATATGTACTTTCCTTGACTTTTTTCAAGAACACTTTTTAAAACTCTCAAGGGACAAAGTAAAGTTTGGTGCAAATGTGATGAAGACCTAACTGTTTATTGCAGTCCGGAGGACCGGGCTGCTATATACATATAAGTTTAAGTGTTGGTATATGGGGATTGAGGTGGGAGAAGTTATTCAGAATTAAAGGTTTTCTAAACATTAGAAAGATTGTTAATCAGAATGTTCTTTCCCTTTATAAATTACGAGATACACAATATATTTACTTCCATAAAGTGAATCTGTAAAAATATATATGTTTTTCATATTTAATATATAAAGTTGCTTATCATTTACTATCGAAAAAACGACAGGTCCCTTTTTTTAGAACATCGAATTTTACTTATCGCATAAAAACGTAAAAAAGTACTTTACACAGTTCGTGTTTTATATTCTTTAAGTGAAAGACATTTTTGAAAATAGGTGATGCATATGTCTGGTTTCAAATTATATTTTATGCAGCCAACATTTACTTGAGGAATTGATAAAGTTTAAAAGGGTATCGTTTTTGTTCGATTTTCATCCGACTATAAGTTTTCAAAATATTCTCGACTATCGTCTCCATCATTTAGACGCATGCCTTTTTCACACATATCGAAGCGGTTTGATGATCATGTTGTCTGACGTCATGGCGTCAGACAGTACTAGATTTAGCCAAGGCTTATTGACCAAGTCGTTCAATAGAATTATTGTAATAACTCGATCTTGGAAACTTCATTCTATCTTAACTATCAATTTTGAGAGCATGGGAATTAATGGCTAAACATCCAAACAAGCCAAAGCATTGGACCTAATTATTATCACATTATACATTACACGTAACATAACATTTTCCCACTCTCTTATGTATTACAATCATTCATGTACATATGTACGTCCAGCAAAACAGCAGGAATGAAGCTGGTCGATCAGGTCAACACGTATGCCGTATATCATTATCTGATTAACTAATACATACCGTCTTTCTGACGTTTGCTCATTTAAAACAAGTTGATGAATTTAAAAAAAAATAATTCTCCCAACTGTTCACCAACTGATGTTTAGATTTTAAAATAATTTGTTATATCTTTTTTCTTTCAAAAGCACCGGTGATATTTATGCATCTAGGAAAAGGCAGTCGGAAGAAATTTCATGGGGAGATAATCAACAACCAAACATTTCAATGGAAGGGGCACTATCAAGGAAAAATTCCTTATCATTAATATCAAGCAAAAAGGTTATCATGAATTTCATACGTTATTATTTACTTGAGTTACATGTATGGGAAACAAGCATAAAGTAGCAAAAGTGTTTTAAAGTATACAATTACAGGTATATATATATCAGCAAAATACGGAGGGGGGGGGGGTCCCTAGTTCCTATGTCCATGAAAAAAAAAGAAAATTACAAGTAATACCTGTCAGTATATATAGGATAAATACATAATTGAGTTTCATTTCATGTTGATGTTACAGGATTGAACTTTTTTGTTTCTTAGTGAAATAATTTTTTTTCTGGATTCAGGATAATGTTGAATACGCTGGACTCAACTTTTCTTTATTAATTCTTCGTATAATAATAAATTTGCTCACGTCAGACAAGCTTTTTAAGAAAGCTAATACTTGTTTACTTTATTTATTTCCCGGGCGACAATTGATGGTTACATCAATGTTTTCTTGTTTACATAAGGTAGTAATGAATCAAAGGAGACATCGTGTAAATAGGTTTATTGAAAGACCGA